CGCCCGGAGCCCTTCGCCGCGCCCGCGGGGCCCTCCCCGACTTCCGGCCGCGGTTCCCGCACCCTCCTCGGGACCCCAGGACCAGCCGCAGATGCCAGCTGGGCCTCTCGCTGCACATCGGACATGTCCCCACGCCTCATTCCCTGACGTTCTTCTTACGGCACATTTCTCCCTCGTTGGACACCCTCCACCCCGTCCGTTCACCCCTCACCAAATCTTGCCCCCACCCTGATCCCAAGAATAACTTCCAGAATCCCAGAGGGCCTCCTTCCTCCAAGGACAGACCCGGCCACCGAGCCTCAGCTTTCAAACGGCCGGGCTTGGGTATTTTCAGGAGCTGAGGTGACTCTAGCCCCGCTATCCTAAGGGCGCTTTCCTCCACACATTCATGACTCCCCACTTGATGTGGGCGAGCCGGCCTGCACACACCCTCATGCTGGACCAGCCCCCGTTGCTGAAGTAGCTCACCAGGCAGCTGGCCCAGTGTGCGGCTCTCAGTCTTTGACTTAATGAGTGGCATTTGCAGCTTGGGAAATTTTGTTTTGTTTTTTCATGTTCTGTTATGATTTCAAACAGCTTTCATGATGGTGTTAAAGCTGTACACCCCAGGGCAGTTTATCCTGAAAGATACATGTACAGTTGATCATTTTAAATTCAGTACAGCCATGAATAATTAAGTGCTCATTTTCTTTAGGCAACAAGGAGACCCCAGGGTGCACCATCCAGCTGTTACCATAAAATGCCCGCTGTTGATGTAAACCACTGTGTTCACTTTTACTGGGGCTTTTGAGAGATTGCCTTTTTCTCTCATTGTCTTCTGATGTACAAACTAGTTTTTCTAGCTGTCAGCATTAGGAGTAACTTCCCACATTCCCAGACACACTGGCATGGTGTGCAGTGAAACATGCTTTGCCCTACTGTACATGCTAAGTGACAGTGAAAGCCAGTATTTTAAGTGCGTGTGACTTTCTGCTAAAGCCAGAGTTCCTGTGGAAAGTGTAGTGACACACCCTGAGTGGCGGGGGCTAAGGGTGGTTATGCACCCCCCACCCCCACCCCCTTCTGAAGGATTCAAAACCAGGTTTTTTACTTTGAGTTATCAGTTAACCAACAGAGACTGTTCAAGCATGGATAATTAAAGTTAGTGTGTGTCTGTTCATTCACATTTTATAGTCACATCAGACCTGAACCCGTCGCAGAAAGCTTCAATGGAGAGAAACCAGACCGTGCTTTCAGAGCGACTGTGCTGTGTCCTTTCCTCTGTGGTGAAGTTGAGGTTTATGACTCAAAACAGAGGAACTAACTTACTCTCCATCTGTTTATAAAGAACTCAGTAACTATGACTATTTAAACTGAGATCTGCTAAAAAGAACTGTTTCAGTAGATGAACATGTCCATTATATCATGAGTGAAATTAAATTCAGACATTAAGTGACACCTGCTTTTACAGAAATGTGGCTGGGAGTCAGGGGTGACAGGGCACAGAGGGTGAGAAGGGGTTTGTCCCTGACACCCTAAGAAACTGAGAACGTTCAGGTAGCTCCGGTTGGAAATTTTCAAATACAACCTGGGTTTTCGGGAGAATCCAGGGCAGCACTGGCCAGCGCAGTGACCACTGAAGATGGGAAGCACCGCCCCCAGCCGTGCACCCACTGTGCCCCTGTCCGGTCTCGCAGGTGGCTGGCCTGCCCCTGCCCTTAGAAGTGTGTCTGCAGTCACAGGGAAGTTTGGTTATGTATCCATATGCAGACTCGCTTGATTGGCGCTCAGGCAAACCCAGAAAAATTTACCTTCTATGTTCAAGGCACAAAGAAACAAAAGCTCCCCAGTTCCTGCTCTTACAGTTTCGTCAAGGAATTAAACTAATGAGAAGTTAATAATATATAAAAAGTTTAAAATAGCGGGAGAGAAAAAAATAGGATAATGGGGCATTGATTCCCAAAATAATTAAGTCTATTTACTGTGAGATTTCTGGTCACATCAACCTTGGGGCCTTCCCAGTGGGAAGGGGCCCTAAAGGCAGGTGACATTTGGAATCTAGGTCCGGAGCACGTAACAATGAAAACAGATCACTGATTGCATTAAAGTGTGGCTTCTCGACTAGGTGCTACTGACATTTGGGGCTGGATCACTTTTTTTTAAAGATTGATTTATTTATGCATACAGAACAGAGGTACAGGTGAGCAGATTCACCAGAGTGGGGATCTACTGAAATCCACTGCTGAGGGGAGCAGCGGTCAGGAGAGGTCTGCTGCGCCATGCGGGCCACTCCCTGGCCGGCCGGGGTCAACCTCGTGCTGAAGCTGTGGAGAGCTTTGCAGTGCTGTGCTTTAACCCGCTGCGCCACCAGGGAGGCCCGGGTCATTTCCGTTGCAGAGGCGAGCCCTGTATTGTAGGGTGCGTGGCCGCATCGGGGCCCTGCCCACTAGTTGTCATGGTGGCTCTCTCCCCATTATGAGGATCAAAATGCCTCCAGCAAAATACTGTTTCCTGGAGGATGGACTCAGCCCTCCTCCACATATGAGAACCACTCAGAGGCCCCTGGAAAAAGTGGTGGGGAGACAGGAAATCGTGACCACTGATAAGCAGTGAGGAGCTTTGTGGAACTGAGCGGAGATCAAAGCTGACGGCAGAGGGCAGGGTGGACTGGCCTGCCCCGGGAGCACTGCAGTGGAGGCAGACCGAGGTGGAGAGTGGCCGACGGCGCCGTCACGAGGATGCGGTTTTCTCAGAGAAAGGTGGTCGGTGCTAAGATCTACTGGGGGGTGAGATGGCCAGATCTGTGGGTGGGAAGAATTTCCTTTTAAATGTGCTGGTGGTGGGATCAGTGAACCTTACGGGGGAACGGCTGGCAGCTGCAGGAAGACTCGCTCAAGATTCAGAGGTGTGGTGAGGACGGAGATAAAGATGGTAGCAGTGCCGTGTTCAGAGATGGTGTTTGAGGGGAAGGAATCCTGAGGAGGACAGCCTGGGGGAGCAGGGGCCTGAGGCCTAAGCCACACAAAGACCGGTGGAGGACCGTGAAGAGAACAGCCTGCTGGAAGTGCGGGTGCAGCAGGCTGGTGAGGCATCTAGGTTGAAGTTTTCCTCCCTGTGGGACTGAGCAAATAGTGGGAGTAACGTTTAGGACCACCCCACAGGGTTGTGCAGTAGGCTCCGAGTCTCGTGCTTTGGCCCCAGGGAACCTCGATGCCTTGCTGCACGGCACAGACTCAGGCTTACTGAGGGCTGTGCCCCACACCCCCCCCCACGCCCGCTGCACACCACCTGCTCTGGGCTGTCTCACTCATGCTGTGCCTTCCCTGCAGCCGCAGCAGCCGTCCCAGGAGTTCTACAGCATGGCTGCCCAGATCAAGCTGCTCTTGGACATTCCCGAGAAGATCTGGAGCTCGATGGAGGCCTCTCAGTATCTCCACGCCACACAGCTCTACCTGCTCTGCTGCCACCTTCACAGCCTGCTCCAGCTGGACTCTGCCAGTTCCAGAAACAGCCCCGTCCTCTCCCGATTCCCAATCCTCATCCGGCAGGTGGCGGCGGCCAGTCACTTCCGGTAAGCCAACCCCGCAGAAAGGTCTCTGGTAGTGACACTTCCCGCCATGGCTGTCTGGAGCAGCCTTCTTTCCTCGGCCGCCAGGGCTCTTCTCCCAGAGCGGCCTCTCCCTCTGGCCTGTGTCCCCGCTCTAGGTCCACCATTCTGCACGAGAGCAAGACGCTGCTCAAGAGCCAGGCCGTGTCTGACCAGGCGGTGGCGGAGGCCCTGTGCTCCATAATGCTCTTGGAGGAGAGTTCTCCGCGCCAAGCCCTCACAGACTTCCTGATGGCCAGAAAGGCAGCAATTCAGAAACTTCTCAGCCAGCCAAACCATGGTGAGCGGGACATGTCTCCCAAATTTGTGTTTTGAAACATGGGAATGGTGAGGGATGAGCTCGTGGGGACTGAAGCCTCTAGAGCATTCTGGGTTTTCGCGGAAGGCAGTTGTTTGAGAGGCTGGTTTCTTCTAGGTGCCGGGATCAAGGGCCAGTTTTGCTCCCTAGTGATGCTGCTGGCCACCACCCTGAACCAGGCTCACGCTCTTTTCTACACGCTACCGGAAGGGCTAATGCCAGATCCGTCCCTGCCGTGCGGCTTGCTCTTCTCGACCCTGGAGACCATCACAGGCCAGCACCCCACAGGTGAGCGCTGAGCCTACCGTTATTTTCTGCCTCACTCAACTATTTGCTGCGTCCCTGCATCTGCCAGTGACCGTGCAGGGTTCTGTGGGTATAGCAGTGCCTCAGACATTGTCCACCTCAGGGACCCACCTTTGTGGAGGTCACGGTCTAGGGTAGAGGTGGATGCTGAACTCACACACATGAGTATCTTTAATATCAGTATCGGTCACTGCTGTAAAGACAGGGTGCAGATTGACTTAGAAGTGTGGAAGCATCGAGGCCAGAAACTTCCCTGAGGAAATGTTATTTAAGCTGAGACCTGAAGGACGAGTTATCAGGGGAAGGTCAGAAGGCCAGGCACAGGGGAGAGAATGTGCAAAGGCCCAGAGGCAAGGAGGGTGTCGATATACTGGAGGGAGAGGAAGCTGGTGGGCTGAAGGTGCAGGGCGAGGAGAAGAGTAGCGTGGACACGTCCAGTCCAGCGGTGTGGCCAGATGATGCAGAGCCTGCGGACTAGGCTAGGGGTTAGGACATCCAGTGGCCCTCAGGGCGTTCCAGAGTTCCTTCAAGTATGTTAAATGTCCTATGTTGTCTGGGTAGTGCTTATCCCCAGTGAAGTGAGATGCAATTCCACGCGAAGCCCGTGGGGTGGGGTGGAAGCTGCGAGCTCACCAGGAGGCTGTTCCCATGACCCCAGTGACAGACGAGGGGGCAGGAGAGATGGCTCTCGTTGGCCAACTCCAGTGTCTGTTGAGGAGACTGTGGGCTGGCTCTGGACAGAGTAGGAAGAGGGTCCGGGTTGACTGGAGACGTTGCTGGTTCAGCGGGGCGGTTCTCGCGCCAGCGAGAGGCAGCGTGAGGCGGCCGACGGAGCAGGAGCGCGGCACGGCAGCAGCACTTGGGCTGGCCACACACCCGGAGTGCCCACATGCGGCTGTCACTGGAAGCCTTGGCATGGGAGACGGGCCTGGGTCTTCAGAGCTCCACAGGAGACACAGCAGAGGTGGGAGGAGGCAGTACGTGGGGTGACACGGGCCGCTCCACAGACGTGCGTGTGGAGGCCCTGTTTGGCTCACCCCGTCTTCCGGCCAGAGTCCCACTCCCCTTCCTGTGCTTGCCATTCAGGCTTCTCTCCCTTCCAGGAAAGCTGAGACGTGGAGTGGTCTCGCACACAGGGTACAGCGCACAGACACCCAGAGTCACACGGCCTCGGCCTGTGCCCTCTTGGGAGGGACCTCACTCTTGAAAGGAGTGGCCCTCGACTCTTCCCGCAGATGGGAGGTAGAAGGCACTGAGGAAAGGAGAGCCGTTGCCTTTGGTTTTTGGTGAGCTCTACTCTGGGAAGAGCAAGGCCTGTACACCTGTTCCTCCTTCCTGCTCCTCTTCCCTCCATCCTGCTCCTCCCTGCTCTTTGCTGACGGACTGAGCAGAGGTGGAAGGAAGCGGTCACGCTCCCTGAGGTGGGGCCCTGGACACAGTCTACTGTCTTTTTCCTCCTTTTTCAGGAGTCCAGTCTGATCTGCCGCAAGGAAGACTAACGTCAATTCTGGCAGCTTTTCTAGGTCCATTTTTCAATAAGCCACTCAAAGGATGGCTCTGATGACTCTCCCTCGGCCTTCTCTTAGGGAGGGGCGTTGGGGTTCTGCAAGAGGAGATGAAGCTCTGCCATTGGTTCAGACACCTGCCGGCCTCCGTCGTGGAGTTCCAGCCAGCCCTGCGCACGCTGGCACATCCCATCAGCCAGGAGTACCTGAGAGACACGCTGCAGAAGTGGATCCACATGTAAGTAGCCACGCTCTCCTGAGGCTGGCGGCGGCAGCAGCCCGAGAGGAACAGGCCTGGGTTTCTGGACGGCTCTGACACCACCCTCTGCCCGGCCACTGGCTCGCTGCCCTGACCACGTCTGTGGCGAGTTAGCCCTGCGGTGGGAGGGGCTGGTCTTCGGAAGTGTTATGTAGAGGAATTCAAATTCCTTTATGTCACATTCTGCCACTCTAAAACTTTTAGTTAGTGAACTGAAGCCTTTCTGAGGGGCTCTAGGTGTCCTTCTAGATGCCCAGGAAAGCAAGGGCAGGCCCGGTGAAGCCTGCCCTCTCCCATCCCAGCTAGAAATGCTGGGCTGTATGTTTCCACTGAGACCCAGGAAGAGGTTAGCAAGGGGAGTCCTGCCGCTCTTCTTAATAGAGGTGTGAGGCCCCTGGAGTCTGATGGGGCCTGAGGAAAATAATTTGTTTGCAGGTGTAATGAAGACATAAAAAATGGGATCACCAACTTGCTTACGTATGTGAAAAACATGAGCAGCCTGGCAGGGGTCCGGGATGCCATGTGGGAATTACTCACCAGCGAGTCCACCAATCCCAGCTGGGACGTGGTGTGTCGGCGGCTGCTGGACAAGCCACTCCTGTTCTGGGAGGACTTGATGCAGCAACTCTTCCTCGACCGACTGCAGGTGAGGGCGGTGTCATGGCCAGTCCCAGTGTGCGCTTCTGTCTGGCCTACCCTGCTGACGTATGCCAGGTCAGGAGCCCTGGAGAGGAGCAGAGATCGGGACTCTGCGGCTAGAAGGACGAGGCTGGCCAGGCTTGGGCGCACATCTGTCCAGCAGCGATGCCATCTCACCGCTGCCTTCTCTCGGGCGTGGGGGGGGGGGTCTGGCTGCTAGGTAGAACATTGCTTGGTGTGTGCTGGGGGCTTTCGTGGAAGGAGCTGGGTTAGAAGCCCTCTGTCCTTCTCTTGCAGACTCTGACAGCAGAAGGCTTTGACGCCATCTCCAGCAGCTCCAAAGAGCTGCTGATGGCCGCGCTGCAGGAACTCGAAAGCAGCGCCAGCAGCTCCGCTTCCAGTAAGCACCTCCACTTCGAGCACAACATGTCTCTCTTCCTCTGGTCTGAGAGTCCCAACGACCTGCCTTCTGACGCCGCCTGGGTCAGTGTGGCAAACCGGCGGCAGCTTGCCGGAAGTGGACTCTCCATGAAGGCTCAAGCCATCAGCCCCTCGGTCCAGAGCTTCTGCGTTGCCCTAGATTCCAAACTGAAGGTCACACTGGATGACCTCCTGGCTTACCTCCCGTCTGGTGACCCTCCACTGTCCAAGGACCTCTCCCCCGCGCCAGCCAAGAATTGTGCCTTCGACCGGTACTCCGATGCTGAGACGGTACAGGAGATGCTGCGGGCCCGCTCGGCGGCCTGCATCCTGCACATCACGGACTGCATCCGGGCAGAGCTGCAGCGCATCGAGGAAGAGGTGCAAGGACAGCAGGATGTCCTCCGTGGGGTCAAGCTGCATGCTGTGCTTTTCATGGCCAGACTCTGCCAGTCACTGGGAGAACTGTGTCCCCACCTGAAGCAATGCATCTTGGGAAAATCAGGGAGCCCTGAGAGACCAGCCAGGGACTCCTGGGCTCTGAAAAAACAAGGAAAGGGGAAAACACAAGAAATCGTTCCCACGCAGGCCAAGTGGCAGGAAGTCAGGGAGCTCCTGCTCCAGCACAGTGTGACGGGCTACCGGGTCTGGAGCTCTGTGGTGGTCAGGGTGAGTGACACGCGATCCTGGGCTCCGGTCCCCGTTGGGGCTCGCCCTTCCCATAGTCCAGGCTCGCCAACCTTCGTAGGGTCTTTGAGTAGAAGAAGGACCCGTCCCTTCCTTATACAGTTACTTCCCCTACCTGTCAGGTAGCACAAAGATGAGACGCTTCTCCATTCGTTTTAGCCTAGATTTTTATAGACAAAAGCTGGAACTTCCCCCCTTTGCAGCTGGTAAGAATGACTTTCTTCTTGGATGGTGATTCCTGCTCTTACACTTAAACATCACGTTCCCATTATAGTCCCACGGGTGTCGTCAGAGGAGGCCCCTGGCATCTGCGGGGGGGTCAGCAACAAGACCGACCGCTGTTGCCGCCCCCGGTCAGTGGTCAGCCTGAAGAGTGGCATTTGCTGTCACCATCCCACATGAGACCTGAGCCACTGAAGCTGACCTCAGGGCTGTTCTGGGGTTTGAAGCAAACGCTGCTAAGGAGCTGAGCAGCCTGTGTGGACCCGTGTCTTTTATTACCAGGTTCTGACTCATGGATTCACCCAGTCGTTACTTTCAGATGATGCGGGTTCAGTCCTGGCCACGGCCACCAGCTGGGATGAACTAGAAATTCAGGAGGAAGCAGAGTCTGGCAGCAGCGTCACCTCCAAGATCCGACTCCCAGCACAGGTAGGTAAGCAGGTGAGGGAGCCCTGGCTGGACAAGGAAGGAATAAGGGCTCTGGACGGAACGACTGGAAGGTCACCTCCTGGCCAGCTTCGGAGCAAGAGTCGGGCTGCGTGGGGCTGCGTGAGGCCGCCTCACCGCTTCTCGTCCAGCGCGGGCGAGGCGACGCTCGGCATTCCTTTTTTCTTTTTTAGCCATCCTGGTATGTACAGTCCTTCCTGTTTAGTTTGTGCCAGGAAATTAACCGGGTCGGAGGCCATGCCTTGCCAAAGGTGACGCTGCAGGAGATGCTAAAGAGTTGCATGACTCAGGTAGTGGCTGCCTATGAGAAATTTTCAGAAGAAAAACAGATCAAGGTAGGGGTTGACATTTTCTTCCATTAAAACCATAAATTAAAGTCGTAGCGCTTCCTTGGGCTGGGTCGTCGGCATCGAGGGTTCCGCGCGTAGACCACTCCGCTGGGCTCTCTGGTCGGGAGCCAGCAGGGCTGTGGGTCTAACTGCACCTTCTCAAGGGCCGAGCGGGCCTTTCCCACAAGGGCAGTCCAGTACGCAAGCCGCGTGGATGCTGCGGTCAGAGGCCTGGCTTCAGGCTCCGGCACCAGCCGGCCGCGCCCGCTGCCGGTTTCCTCGGCATAGATGTGACCCTGTGGGCCCTGCTCAGGGGGCAGGGAGAGTCTCATGATCGCAGAGCACGCGCCTGGCTCAGACTCCTGAGGCGCTGCTGCCTCTGCCCCACCTGCCCTCTCCTGGGAAGCATCTGCCCTCTGTCTTCCCTGCCCTTTAGGAAGGTTTTTAAGACAGGAAGCTCCTGTTTTTAGAAAGAATTCAGGTACATCTCTCTCTTCACACAAAGCTTTTTTTCCTTTAAAATGACCGCTCACGGCCTCCCACGCTGTTTTAAGGGCCAGGTCTCTCTTCTGTTAGGCTAGGAGTCTTGCTTAGCACCAGTTCAGAAACAGTCAGAACCTGTTTTTGTTATCATCACGAGACCCAGCTGGCATTAGAAATATAAAGGCTTCTGCCTCCCTCTGCAGCAGCAAGCTGTAGCACAACCCAAGCCTGAAGCTGCTTGCTAGGCTCATATAACAAGTTAGGTCCCATTTAACTCAGGCGGGGATTGGGAATTCATTTGCAGAAAGAAGGTGCGTTTCCAATGACCCAGAACCGCGCCCTGCAGCTGCTTTACGATCTGCGTTACCTCAACATTGTCCTGACAGCCAAGGCCGAGGAAGTGAAAAGTGGCCGAAGCAAACAGGACAGCAGGTACCGTCATTCTCTGGGTTCCCCCAGTCCAGTTTCTTCTAGCTGTAAAAACCCCCCTTTCTGGGTGTCACAGCCTGACTCCTCGTAGTGGTTTGTCTTCAACAGCAGCCTCGATTACCAGATCAGCAAAGGCCACCTGCTGGACACTCCATGGTCAGGCACAGCGGGCAGACTCTGTCCTCTCTTCTGAGTCCCACAACTATTGGGTACCATTGAGCTACTCCTCGAATGTGGGGAGGAGCGGGCTTCACTTAGACACCCCTTCACGTCAGTGTGCTTGGGGACAACTAAGCATGAGGGTCAGTGACAGGATGTGCTCAGTCAACCAAGGTTAGGGAGAAAAATCCACTCCAGGATTTCTATAGCATTAAAACTTCCTAAGGTTGAGTTTTGTCCTAAAAATGTGCATCACTGTGACCCCTTTTCCAGAGTTGAAAAAGTGGCTGACTACTTGGAAGCACTCATTGATCCCTTCGACCTGGACGTCTTCACACCCCACCTCAACAGCAACCTTAACCGACTAGTGCAGCGAACCTCTGTAAGTGTGGACGTGCTGGGTGTGAGTTAAGGGCCACAGCCCCAAGGTGGTCAGCCTGCCCCAGCACTAGGCCCCAGGAGGCAGTGCAGGGAGGGGCGGAGACGCAAGCAGTTTAGTTCTAGGGGCTAAAGGAGATCAGATCTCTCGTGTGCAGGCAGCCAGCATCTGACTCCTTTGGCGAGGGTGAGGGTCCAGGCCTCCGAAAGAGGAAGAAAAAAGCTACGACTGAGACTGACTTGGGTCATGAGAACAGTAACTGTTGAAGCACTGACCCCTCAAGCACACAGCCCCCCAAAGGAAAGTTAGAAGCAGTGCAGTGAAGACTGCTGGCAAGAGAAGGGGTTTTCTACCTGGCCAGTCAGACCCGGCATGCAATGTACGTCCTTATCCATCAGGTTCTGCTGGGACTGGTTAGTGGTACGGAGAACCAGTTCGCCCCCAGGAGCAGTGTGTTCAACTCCCAAGAACCCCATAACATCCTGCCGCTGGCATCAAGTCAGATCAGGTAAGGCTTGGAGGCTTTGGCTAGGCCCCGACTTTTCCTGTTGGTGCTACTAAAAAATTCCTTCATCTTTGTCTTGGAGGTTTGGACTTCTTCCGCTGAGTATGACAAGCTCTCGGAAGGCCAAATTAACCAGCAGAAGCATCGAAACGAAAGCCCAGGTTAGTACCGGCCTCAGGATTCAGCCCTGTGGCCCTGTCCCTCCTTCCCAAACCACCCGCCCGCAGCCTCTCAATAACTGATCAGCACTGAATGACAATGCACTAATGCTGCTTTAATGGCGGCGCAATACACAAGTACAAGGTTTTACTAGCTTGAGCTAACAGAAGTCCTAGGAGATGCCCGTTGACACTATCAAGTAGCCTCCCAATAGAAATGCATCTCGGGCTGCCAAGCTGTAGAAAATCTGCAGGACGGGATGGAGATTATCTCTCGCTGTGAGGCGGGTAAGAGTAGCTAACTCCAGCACTGTGGTTGTACTTGTTTGGAAAAGTGTCCTGTTTCAGTGTTGGTTTCATCATCTTTTTTCAGTTGGGCTGGGAAAAAAGGAAATTTGCTGTCTCGGGTTTTACATTTTCCTGTTAATGCACATTTTGTTTCAGTTAGCTGCCATGCAGTAAGCCTGCAGGAGTCCTGCTGTGTATTTCTGAATCGTGTTGTGTGTATGTGTCATTTCAGAGTTCCAACGGCCTGTCTTCTTACCGCGTCTAGCTGCTGTTTGCTTTACCGTTAGACAAAACAGTAGCAGTGTGTCCTTTCCACATCCTGCCATCACACCCATTAAGATCCAGAATCCTTGTCCAATATCTGGTTTTCAGCCTGGGAGATGGCAGCGAGAGCCCTGCACGAGCCAGCCCCGCAGGCAGGCTGGGCTGCCGCTGCCCGGTTCCCAGGGAAGGAGGCGGGGGGCCCACCTTTTCCTGACGGGCCTCACGCCCCAAGTTCAGTTCTGCCCCATGTCCCTTCAAGCCTTGACAAAGAGCAGCTTCCTCGTGAGCATGTCTGCTGCTCAGACCTGCTTGGTGTGCTGTGTGGCCGCGGGGCGGGCAGCGTGGCGGGGGCACTCGGTCGACGCTAAGGCACTTTCCTCTACACGCAACTGCAGGTCACGCCCCCGGCACTGTCCCGAGCAGGTGACCCGACACATCCTGGCTCCTTGTTCAGACAGTTTGTCAGTGAAGATGAGGACGCATCTGCACCTTCACTGTTCAAACTCGGCTGGCTCTCTGGTATGACTAAATGACACAGGAGCACGTCCATCGCTCTAAATAAACTTGTATTTCTCCCCGAGGTGCTTCTGCCCATTTCTTTCTAAGCAACACCAGTCTTTCCAGTTCCTGCAGCACATGGCCCCCTGGTTCCTTGAAACACCAAGTGAATCCTTGTCCAGTCATTTCGCAACACTTGAGACTCGGGCGTCAGTCAGAGCCTGCACTTGGTCAGCACCCACCACCTGGATCTCCGCGCGCTCGGTGCTGCTGCTGGCATTGCAAGTTTCTGAGTAAAACAAAGGTCCTGGGTAAGTCTGGACTTCTGTAACTCAGCACTGTTTCCCAAGGCCGCGATGGAGGTGCCGGAGGGATGACGGGACACAGATTATGAGGAGTCTGAGAGATGCTCTCTGGAAGTAACAAGTGTGTGACAGCAGAGACAGTTCTTAGGCAAGGGGCTTCCTTACAGTCCAGCGTGGGTCCGACTGTCCCGTCATGGAGAGAGGACTTGCAACAGGATGCCCACACACTGAGAGGTAGTATGGCAGTTAATGTCAGTGCAAGACTGAGTCAAGCTTTCTATATATTGGAAAAAAAAAAAAACTTACGTTTTTTTCATGGAAACTAGATACTCTTCACTGGTTTATTGAATTTTTAAAAAATTGAAGATCCTGCATTTTTAAAAGGCCCTTTTTACATAAAGTAGAATTTCTAGTTGACAGATCTGAAAATTAATCTGGATGGACAAACTATGAATTCAACACACAGATGAGATTTCCTCTTACCATTACCTTGACATGGAGTTGATACCCACCCTTAAAAGAATCCTATAAAAAGTTGCTTTAAAGCCCCTCTGAAATTGCAATAGTGCAGCAAAACCACAAGTAAACAACTGCCTGTTAACCTGTTATTTCAAATATAGACTGAAAAGCCAACAGGCATTTTTTTGTGCAATCTTTTAAAACATTGTAAGTTGAAGTATCAAATCTGCACAGCGCTGTCCCTTCACAGAAGGCAGGCAGCTGCCGGCACGTCATGTCGGAGGCCGTCCTCGGTGCTGTAGGCTGTGGAAGTGGGCCTCCTTCAGGGTCTGGTTGATGTGGAAGTAAGGGCCGTGGCACAGTGCAGACTGCTCAGGCTGAGGGGTGTTGGGGCTGGATCCGGCGACAGTCTGGTTTAAGCTGCTCTCGGGCCCACTGGCCCTGTCCGGGCTGTTGATGCTGCTGCTGCTGCTGCCGCCACTGTCGCTGCTTGATGACTGGGAGAGAAAGGAAACAGGGTCAAGGTGAAGCTGCGTGTTTCTGGAGAGCTCTACTGCGGTTTCCTTTACAGTATACTTTTTAAGAAAGTCTCCTCCCCGGTTTGAGAATATCCGCCTCAGCCACACATCATCTAAGCTGTTTCATTCTATGCTCCCCACCAGCTGAGTCAAGTGGGGTGACTGTCCCGCTGCACATTCCTGGGAAGCAGCAGGGCTGACTCGAGACAGGCTTCCGGCTGCGAATCCCTCCAACTCCATCTGAATTTTAAACCTGCTTTTATAGCATCTATATTGTTCCAATAATGTCCAATAGCCACAGGAGGACATTCTCAGTCTCCAAGGAGAAGTATAAAAAGGGTATCCTCATTAATAAGGTGGTTTCTGGGCACAAGTTAAAAAAAATAGGGCCTCCCTGGCGGCACAGGGGTTAAGGTCTCTGCAACTTCAAGCTATTGCCAGCCACTGCACAGGAGGTGATCCACATGGGGCCGAGACCTCTCCTGTCTCCCTGCTGCTCCCCTCAGCAGTGTACCTCAGTAGATCCACCTGTTCCTTCAGCTCCCCCACTCTCTGGTGAATCTCCCCCCAATCCACCATGCACCTCTGGCATAAATAATTAAAATAAATCTTTAAAAAAATAATAAGCTATGACAATTTCTTGGTTCTCCTATTTGACACAAAATGTACTCTCTGAATGCAGGGCCCATGTCCTGAAAGACACTCCTCACAAAGTCGTCTTAGCATCTCTGATGCCTCTGAGGGTATGTGTGTGCACGATCTTTTCAACATAATTAACATGACTTGATGTCTTGGTTACCCTGAAGAAGCTAGTCAGTGACCCCTAATAAGATTACTCAGAAATCCCGCTCACAGTGCCAGGGTTCTCCAAAGGGAAGGCAGTAATAGGGATCCATTTCAAATTAAAGCATGTTCTGAAAGGGACAACCCCAATAACTTCATTAGCCATCGCTTCTGTTCACACCTCAATATTGTGCTGGAAAGAACCAATGCAGGAGACTACTTACTAATAATTAATGAGCTGGTGTGTAGTATTTTTTAGCCCTTTGATAAATCCAGATTTGTGTTTCCTTAGACAAAGACAGTGGTCTTGAAATGGTGGTTTACACCTACACATCATCTACACAGAAGGGGAAAAGACTAGAAAAAGCCCTGACTTACATAAGAGTGGAAGAACTATCGTTGCATATCCTTCACAATGACTTTTCTGCCACGTGGTTATATATTATCACCATACAAATCTAGAAACCAAGTTTCCAGGTAGATACTGGATTTAAAATTCCCATTTCTGTATTTGGATCAAAACTTATACATAGCCGTACATACACAGCGTGGCTGAGACGGCAAGGAAGGCAGTGTTCATAGCCAGTACTCGCTGTCGGTAAAACACCGAGAAGCGTCATGGCCCAATGGTCCTTTGGAGCCACTGAGCAGGTCACACTCCCCGCCCTGCACTGAGTGGGAGGTGACGTGCCTATTTTTTACCAGAGAGAAAAAGAAAGCATTCTAATGAGCTGAATGACGGCAGACAGCAGTGGTGGCAGTTAAAGACGAGGTCAAAGCCAACTTAAAAAGAAAGACTGCTATCCACAAAACCTCTCCTGGCCGCCAGTGTGAGCAGCCGGAACAGCCGGTCACCACACTAGGTTAGGACCCACCACGCAGAGCACTCTGTTTCCTCTTAGTGTGTTTTCTTTACTGTTTTTCGTTACAGGTACTGTCTGAAAATTAAGGCAAGAACTAGAATCAGTTTCTAATAAGTGAAAATTTCCATGTCTATAGACATATTTATTTTACACTGTAACAGCAAAGGTAGACTAATGAGAAAAGTTCTTTAAAATAAATAAGCTGAAAAAGATTTCTGGACAGTAACTTGGAAAATTATGGGTGTGGGACACATGTACCTGTGATTTCTAATACATTTTTAAAACCTTGTAATTCAACTTTGTAGACACTTGTATAAAAACATTTAGTGTGACTTGCTTATAATAAACAAAAATGGGGAAACAATCTAAACGTCTAACACGAGGAAGTTAGTTAAATAATGCATCTATAAAGTATAATACATGAACGTGACCCGTAACATTCTATCCTGCTGCAAACAATGATGAACATGTATGTACCCCAAGAAAGAAAGCAGTCCTTATTATCTTTTTTCACAGGTTTCAAAACAGTTCGTACAGCAGCTGGTTTTTAAGATGTTTTCCTTCAGTGTGTGTATAAATTTATGTGCACACACATGCCAAAATGGCCTGGACTTTGGGCCATCTAAGTTTTAAAAATACCTTTGTCTTCATAGCTTCTACAACTAATATTTCTTTTGAGGGGAAAAAAATAAGCAGTTAAAAGAACCGAAGAATGCTACTACCTGATGTGCCCAGTTTAAAACCCAGCATTCCAGCGCTACACTCAGGTTTAAATTGAAAAGCAGCTGAGATGGGAGGCAGGGTCAAGAGTGGACTCTGAGTGTCCAGGCTCACATCTCTCGCGCAGAAATTAGCTTAAGTTCATTAAATCACAGAATCTGGCCCTCCCTGGTGGCACAGCGGGTTACAGCACAGCACTAAGCTTAAGCCACTTCCGCATGAGTTCAATCCCCGCCTGACCCGGACGTGACCACAGGGCGCAGCAGACCTCTCCTGACCCGCCCGCTGCTCCCCTCAGCAGTGGACTTTGTCGGTCTGCCTGTTCTGCTCCCCGCTCTGTCTCTGGTGAATCCTCTCACTGCCCCTGTACCTCTAGCCTGTACTCCAGTTCTGTATGCACAAATAAATCTTAAAAAAAAAAAAAAAATCACAGAACCTATGTGTCACTTAACGTGGACCAGCGTGTTACTCACTGGGGTATACAGTTAACAAAGCCTGTGCTAGTGAATGATTTAAAACTAAAATTTTATGTAAATTGCCTTACATAAGAAAAAAGGTTCAAAAACCTACATTGCTCTAAGGGAAGAAACCAGTTTTGTTTGTTATATGCATTAAATAAGGTAACATAAAAACTGCCCTACACATCATAACAATTACCATTCGAAAAACTAATCAAAATATTTGTAAGGTAAATGTTACCATCTTTTTTTGTTTTATGCCTATGAGGAAACAAAGCCTCAGAAATGTATCCTGATTTGGCAAGATCTGAAGTTGAGCTTTAAGTGTTGACCTGTTGAACGTCAGTTTTCTTCACTGAGAAAATTCTAGTGTGGGCTTTTACAAAAGCTGGGTGGGACAGAATGAAGAGTTCAGAGTAGAGCCTGTTTTTTGCTTGCATGTTAAGGCCAAGGGAGAAGAGCTCAACTGATTCCAGTGTTTTAATTAAAAATATTCTATTCACCAAAAATTCAAATTTGAACATTTGCAATTTAAAAATCTTGTAAGGATGTAGGAAAGGAGCACTGTTAAATGAAGGGGGAAATTAAACTGCATTCTTGCTCGTGAGCTGCCAAGGGAGTATTTTGTTGTTTCAAATTTGTCTAGAATTGGTGCTTTTCAGAGGACAGCCTACTAGATGATACTCCAAAATAGATAAGCAGACACCGTGTGTCGCCGGCTACAAACATGTTACCGGCAACTACAAAATGCTTCTACAAAACAGGTCTTCAGTTTCGACTAACTTAAAGACTGAGACTAAAAATATCCATTAATATTGTCAGTAAGATTTCAGAAGACTGTTCAGCTTCCCTAAAACTAGCTTTAAAATTTCTGAAGTTGCGATGGGGTATTCACTTGCAACTTGCACTGAAAAGTCTAATGCTGCCTTTTAACTTTAGCCTGTTAAGAACCCAGTGAACGAACTTTATGTGCTATTTTATATACTACTATATACTACTATGTGTCATATATATACTGCTATCATCAAAGACAGGACAACACATCTCTTTCAAAGTCATTTGATTCCTGTTTCCTGCCAGTTCAGCCCAGTCCAGTCTTCTTACTGTCGGGAAGCTGAGGGTCTCCAAGCCACAGGAGAAACCCACTACGTGGGGAGCAGCCAGCACAGGAAAAGTATTTGAGACAGTAAAGGGTGATTGTTTCATGAGTTGTTTGTTGTTGTTGTTGTTTTTTATTCACAAATAAATTTGGTATGTGACAAACTATTTCTATGGGCAAGTCAAAAAAGTTTAAAAGTTACTCCCTGGTGGTGCAATGGGTTAGGATGCAGCACTGCAAGCAAGCTGCAGCTGCTTCCGTGTGAGTTCGATCCCCATCCCGGAGGGGATCCACATGGCACAGCAGACCTCTCCTGACCCACCTGCTGCTCCCCTCTGCAGTCTACCTCATAGATCCGCCTGTTCTGCCCCCCACTCTGTCTCTGGTGAAGCCTCTCACCCCCTGCACCTCTGGCCTGTACCCCAGCTCTGTATGCATAAATAAATACATCTTAAAAACAAAAAGTACCGTAATGGGTCTTGGAACTGTCAGCCACCAAAGGGTCAAAATTACGGAATAAAAGACCATCTATGCCTTCAAACCCTGAAGGCAAAAAAATCAAATTTTAAAACTTTATCAGTGCCTCAAGATCTAACACAGAAATAAATCATTAGACCTATAAAACCAGAACCACGGAGACAGGAAAGTCTTTTCCCCACTCAGGGGAGCTTTTCAGTCTCTGGTTTCCGGCAGGAGTGGCAAGAGCTTACTGTGGGACAGCACTTTCAGCTCCCGAGCCGGTGCCCACCTGTTTACCTGGTCACACCTGATCTTCAAAAGACAAGTGTCTACGAGAATCAAGAGTCCAAAAACTCTTCAAATAGGAATCCGATTCCCTACGGAGACTACTCATTAGACAGGCTATTCAAATTAAAGCTACAAACTTCATTTACTAAATTTTCACTTTAGGCTTAGTGCTAACAACTGAACCTAACAACTGAACCAAGTATTCTCCAGACAACTCGCCTTGCAAATCCATGTAACTCCAACAAAATAAAGTCAAATGTATAGAGATTCTGACCAAAAGCACCTCTAAACCACCCACAAAGGCAACTC